TGTCACAATTTTTCAACAGCAAGACATTTTAAATACAACAAGACTTTGGAGCTAATATCCAAAGATTTTTGGTGGCTGCAAATGTCGATGGCTATAAAAGACTTTGTTCAATCATGTGACATTTATTCAAGGTCAAAAACTCCTCAGCATCAATCTTATGGACTTCTTCAGCCATTACCTATTCTAAAACAATTATAGTCTTTTATTTCTATAGATTTTATTATGGATCTTCTAGTTTCAAGATTGTATGATTTTATATTTATGATAGTAGATTTTTTTTTTTTTTTTTTATCAAAATGGCACATTTTATACTATGTACAAAATCTATTACAAGTGAAGAAACTGCCAAGCTTTTCCTTGATAATATCTATTGATATCATGGATTGCCAAAAGATATTATATCAGATAGGAGGACTCAGTTTGTATCAAGATTTTGAAGAATTCTTTTTAAGATTCTAAAGGTGAGCATGAAGCTTTCTTTGGCCTTTCATCCTCAAACTAAAGGACAAATAGAGTATATAAATCAAGTTTTGAAGCAATATTTAAGAAAACCCTCTTGTAATTAGTAGAATTTGCTTATAATAATACAATGCATTCTTCTACGTAACAAATACCTATTTTTGCCAATTATGATTACCATCCATGACTTGATATTTTGACTTTTTAAAATTTGATAATCTTGTAGGAGAAGATTTAATAAATTATTTGTCAAAGCTACATGCAACAATCAAGGTGCAATTAAAAGAAGCTAAACAATGACAAAAGATCAATGTACATGCTTATCAAATGGAACAACCACAATTCAATGTAAGTGACAAGATATGGTTACTTCATTGTAATATCAAGACTACTCGTGCTTGTGATAAGTTGGACTATTGCAAGCTTGGATCTTTTTCTATTTGTAGATAAATCAATCCAGTTGCTTAATGATTACATCTATCAAAATCAATGAAGATCTATCTTGTCTTTTATATATCTCTTTTTGAACCATTCAAGACTTTGAATTTACCAAGAAGAAGACAAGCTCTACTTACTTCTATAGAAGTGGACAATAATAAAGAGTTTGAACTAGAAGAAGTTCTAGACTCAAGGGAGTGCTGAAATAAATTAGAATATCTTGTCAATTTGTATGGATATGTTATTAGTTAAGGTACATGGGAGCTAATAAAGATTTTAAAAAATGCAACAAAGATGGTGGAGGCTTTTTACTGACGTCATCTATCAAAATCAAGATGAAGAATAATAAGTCTTTGCTATAAAAAAAACAAGGTGCAGGGAAGATTGTATTCTATCAATTATTTTTGTTTGTGATTTCTATATATTTGTGACATCAAAGAAATGGAGAATCAACAAGTAAGAAATTTGATTCAAGAGCCTTTTTTTCTTGACTTTTTGGATGAAATATTATAATTGTCTCAACCTTCAAGACAATGCAATTGAAATGAAGATCCTCAAGAATAACATGTTCTTCCTTGAATAGATGACAAGATACAATGTATTTGATATCACGACCTTGGGAAGAACTCTCAATATTTGGTGATTTTATTAGAGGTAGAAACAATTCTTTATGGTATTTCAAATCTTTTATTTGAAGGAGGTTATGAACGCCTCAACAACGATCAAATAATTGGATGGTCTTTCTGCCTTGGTATAGAATACTATCGATGGTTTAGAGGCCCTATCAACCATCTTCAAAGAAAACAAAGATCATAATATGTCGCAAATATAATTTGTCGCAACTTAAATTTCTTTAACAAATGATGATCACTATTGATAGAACTTATCTCTTAAAGGAGGAAATAATATCACAGACATAGACATGTAAACCAATAATTACCTATATAATTAAATAAAAGTAGGTAAAAATAAATTAATTCCATAATATCTTCTATAAAAGCTTTTAAGACGCTTCATAGATACTGCTTTGACTTTATAAGTGTCTATAATTGATTTTTTAGGTTAAAAACATGGTCAACAAGTTGGCCATGTACTATACATATTGATAGCTTGAAAAACAAGCTAATTATGTGGCCCACATGTAGAAAATTTATCTTGTAAGCTAAGGCATGTATCCTACAAAGTCAACACATATTAGAGGTCCTATAGAATATTGTCATATAGCTCCTAGTTAAATAATATATATAGAGATAAGTGTGAAGTACTCTTCATTCTTATCAACTCTTTTCTTGCTTCTAGTCTAGATTAAAATGATTATAGTTTTTTTTATCTTTTGGCAATAGTCCTTCTAGTTTCTTTTTAATATACATACTACTGTATTGTTATTTTTTTACTTTACTTTTAACATAGATTTTTGAGGTTTATTCATCTTCTTCCAATTCATGTCCTTGACAACTTGATCAAAAGCTCCAAATGGCCTCGGTTAGTCCTATTTATATTTTGTTCAAGAATCCTAAAATTTTCTAAAATATTTTTAATAATAGGCTCTACTAAGATAATTGCCCTTCTAAAAGATTCTAGATGTGAGTTCTATCTTGATAATTGCCCTCCTATAAGGTTTTAAAAGTAGACTCTATAAAGATAACGGCCTTTAGTTCTTTTAGGATGTTCCATAATAGACCTTATATGGATCTTTAATCTATCCTCAATTCTAAAAACTTCTAAAAACTTTTCAAATACGACTCCAATCACCTATCTCTATGTATTAATAATATAATTATCTTATGTATGTCTTATTATAATTAGAAGTAAGAATAATTTCTAATGATATTTTAAATATTTTATTTGACTAGAGTTATGAAGGCCTCAAGAATAACCAAATAATAGGATGGTCTTCTTACCCTAGTATAAGATATTAATAGTTGAAAAGACCTATTAACCATTTTCAAAGAAAACATAAATCACAGTATATAACAAACACAATTTGTTGCATCTTAGATTTTTTCAACATATGATGATTGCTCCTCATCAAACTCATGTCTAGAAGAGTGAATAATATCACAGACATATATAATTATTCTAATAATTACCTATATAATCATGTAGAAGTAAGTAAAAGTAGATTAATTTTATAACATCTTCTAGAGAAGCTTTATAGACATTGCTTTGCTTTTACACATATTTATAGGTTAGAAACTTCGTCAACAAGTTAGTCATGTATCATACATGTTAATAGCTTATAGAACAAACAAACTTTGTGGCATATATATAAAAAACTTGTCTTGTAAGTTAAGATATATATTTAGTAAAGTCAACACATGTTGGAGGCCTTGTAGAATATTGTCATATAGCTCTTAATTAGATAGTATATATGGAGGTAAGAGTGAAGCCTTCTTCATTCTTATTGATGCATTTTTAGTCCTCAATCTTATTTCAAGACTTTCTAGTCTTCTTGTCTTTGGCAATAACTATTTTAGTTTAATATATTACCATCTTTGAGTCACTTTCTAATCTTCTTGTCTTTGGAAATAACTATTCTAGTTTAATATATTACCATCTTTGAGTGACTTTCTAGTCTTCTTATCTTTGGCAATAACTATTCTAGTTTAATATATTACCATCTTTGAATGACTTTCTAGTCTTCTTATCTTTGACAATAACTATTTTAGTTTAATATATTACCATCTTTAAGTGACTTTCTAATCTTTTTGACTAATACAAGAAAGTATTGAGTTTTCTTTCTTTATGATTCATATCCTTGACAACTTTTTAGTTACAATAGAATCATAGTCTTACTCCTTTAAGTTCTAATTTTTGTGATGTTAAGATAATACAAAACCCAACTAATTATAAAATTCTTGTAGAATATTTTTGTTTAAGGTGCATTCTAATGTAATTGAATAACATTTTTTAGATGTAAGATTTTCAATTATAATTTTTAATAATATATCACTTTTGATTTGAGAATCCATCAAAAATTATATTGAATTATATTTGAAGTAAATTCCTATATATATGGGCATTGCATACTTATTAGTAGGAGCTAATTAGATAAATCTTAAGTCCTAAATTTTTTGTTGTTGCAGGTCCTTGCATGTTGAGTAGATAGGCACATGTGTGTGGCTTATTTATTTGCTTTAGCACTAATAAATATTCATTGTAGAATAGTAAATTCCAAAAGAAGTATCATTGTAAGAAATAATAAAAGATGTACTTTTTAAAGTTCAAATTGTATCAACTTTATAGATGGAGATAAAAAAGTCCATCTATTGATAAATGTTTTAGTGTACATAGTATTGTCATTTGACCATTCTTTTGTATTAGTATATTTTTATAATTAGCTTATTTGACTTATTCATAGTCAAATTTAGCTAAGCCACTTTAAAAGCAACATTTATTTAGGTGGCACAATCTGCAAAGGAACATGTGCTACACACTAAGTGGCTACGATTGCAAGTAGTACACAAATAAGCAATAGATAGATCTCCCAAATTTGAAGCTTTTTATTCAACCAAATATTTTTAATGCTTTTATAGTAAATAAAATCAATGCATTAAAAGCATATATCCTCTCATTTATTATTTTATTTTTATCACCATATTTTTATTTTTGAAAAATTTTGTATAAATAAAAAATTATAATACATCAAAAATTTTAATATAAAAAATAAAATTTGAAAAAAAAAAATGTAAGAGGAAAAAAAAATGTAAAGAAAATATCTTTTGACATTATTTTGTTGCATGTTTTTTTCTTCTTTTTCTTCTCGTATTTAATTCAATTAACATATTTAGAATTATTTATAAAACAGAAGTAGCCCAATAGCTGCATAAAAATAATAAATCCTCAAATAAACTCAAACTTGTGGATATGAGATGTTTTAAGCGTTTCTTTTTTTAATTTTTAATTTTTATGTCATAGTATTTCTGTATTTTAATAATGCCACACTACCACATCTTCTGATGCAAATTAGGGAATAGCGCTATTCTCCATGAAGCAACGAGGCGCTTTCATATTAGCAAGCCCACCACGTGCGCACCGCCCCTATTTACGGCCCCCCCCCCAAACCCGTCGGATGTCCACCCCATCATCGTCCCCTTCGTTGAAAGGGTTAACGCCGCTGCGTGCGGGCAAAGAAGAGCGCACGTCTCGGCGCGGCACCTTCGCTTCACCTCGATTCTCAAGACGCGCAATCCTTCCTTGCTCGCTCGCTTGCTTGCAATGTAGCAGATCCTCGTGCCGCTGCTTGGATCTCGCCTGCCTACACACTCGTGCAGTCTCAAATCCAGCCGGATTACAGTTGCAATCGGAACCCAGGAGCTGCAGCGATTGAGGTTCCATCTTCACTGGGTGGTGGGGTAGGTTTCACTTTTGGGTGGATTTAGTCGTTTCTTTGGGGTTTAATCGTGGTTCTGAGTTCTTGAGCAGGGTTGTGAGTCTGTGTTGTGACTCATTGCTTCGATCACCCTAGTATGATCTTTTCGGAACGTGGGTTCGTGAAATCGGGGGAGTTGTACTTGTGTTCTCTCGACATTTAGTCGTTGCGCTTCGGTCTCTGCGAATCTTTGGATAGTGGTTTGTGCAGAAGCTTGTTCTCTGTGAGATGGGGGTGTGGGTTATGTCAATGTGTTTCGAACTGCGGCTGGATGTCGATTTCGAGGTTGTACCGTTGTGTGGTGGTAGTTTTAGGCTTTTTAAATGTGAAAGTTCGAAAGTCACACAATTGCATTTTTGAGATTCTAGGTTTCAGCAGTGTTATGTGGTTGTGTCCTTGTGGTTTCACAATTAGGGGTGATGCTGGGCGCGCAGTCGATGTCAGTTGGATAACAAGCGACCCTCACATGACGTCTGCCACCGGTTTGATTGCAGTTGCAGTAGTTTTGATGTGAATCTCACGGATTGTCGCTCGTGAGCAAGAGTTGGGATTTTTGTTCTTCATATGCTTATGATGGTAGTTTTATCCTGGCTTCTGATGAGATCTTACTTTTTATTGGGTCTGGATTGCAGTGTTTGATTCTGTACGATGAAGTTCAGCAATTGGAACCGTCTCTTTCTGGTGCTCGTTTTGTTAGCTCAGACTTTGGTCTTTACAAGCACGCAAGAAGAAAAGCCTTCCTGTGATCTAAGATGTAAAACTGGGGTTTGCAATTATGACGGTAGTTGCCACTGTGTTCAAGCTACTCTGGGAGGCCCTCTTAATTTTTTTGGGTACCCAATCTACTTTCCCTCACCTCGAAATCTATGAATTATTACTAGTATTCAAAATTTTCTGGGTCCTACAGTTGAAAGGACGATACTGTGTGGTATTGTTTATGAATGCTAGCTATTATCCACACTCTTTTTTCCACCATGAGGTTCTTCAATGTGAACATGCGAAGGAAGTGTTGCTTTGAATAGGAAAATGAAAAGTTAAGAAGGTTTTTTATGCCGCAGCACTACTAGTCATCTGACTTAGCTTGAATACTGTTATGTTGTGTGTTTGCACATTTCGATAAGTCAAGTTATACAAGCTCTCGTTCTCGAAGTCGAAACGTTTTGTGACACACATATCATTGACTGAGTGATGTTGTATGTAGTGGGCAATTTTGTGATCTGCCGAGCCATTATTGCAGTGAATCTCCCGACCTTAGTTTTTGGTGCGTAGACAACAACAACAACAGCACTTGTGGAAAAAAGGAAGATGGCACCCCCACATGTATATGTCAACTTGGATATAGTGGAGATAGGTGCGAGTTCGCAGGTACTCTTTGTGGAGTAGGATACTGCTACAACAATGCAACATGTGTTGATGGAAAAAGCTGTGATTGCCCTCTTGGTTGGCAAGGAAATGCTAACTGCACTTTGGCTACTCCCGAGAAGTCTTCCAGTGGCTCAGGCATCAAGGTTCGTTGCTAGAAATTGCTAAATATTTACTATTGTGTCTACGCTCATCGTCACCTACGTTAGAATTCAGTGAACTGCCACATCTGGTCATTTGTATGGCTTTCCTTACAGCATACTATCTCTTCAGTACTCGCATGAACCTGCCAGTGTATTAAGTATCTGCGTCATCTAATTGTGCGGATTGTGTGGTCAGTGGTGGGGTGGTCTCCTGATTACAGGTGCAGTTGTTGCTGCGATTTCGGTGGCAGTTGCATTTGGCTTGAAAAAGTACAAAGAGAAAATGGATGGAGTTAATCGGTTCAATGAGTTGAAGAAGTCGCAAATGAGAGGCGGGGCTGAATCTGATGATGACGATGCATATGACAGCGATCCTTATGAAGAAGGTGGCAAGAGATCTAGAACAACTCCACAACTGTAGTATATTTTCTGATTTAGGAATTCCTCAGGTTCCTCCGGATGGACGTGAACTGCCGATTGGCATTTGATGTCTTCTACTGCAGCCCAAATTTGTTATCAGAGGGCAATTATTTCGGCTTTTAAAGCTTTTTCTGTGATCTTTCCTTAATCATTTTTTTTTTCCGTCTCCTGGTAGGCTATCTTATCTATTTCCAATTTTTATTTTATGTTCATAAAACTAATCAAGTTTCTGCCCAGCGTAGTGAAAGATCGGTTTCGCCGACTCGTATCAGTTTTAGTGTATTATGTCATGCAGTGTAATGCCAATTCTATTGCTTAAGATTATTGACTTCGAAAGTTTGAGTATAGTGTTCTATATGGTCATTTCACAATACACATTATCTCTTTACTACGATAGTTTGGTGGCATGGTGTTCAATTTCATAGCAGAGATGTCAAAAATTTTGATCGCTGGCATATCTATCTTCACATCCATAGTTTTTCGGTTTTGAGCACCTGTGCACAGGAACAGGTGGCATGTGATGTGATGGCACATATGTTAGTCCAATTGTTTATATTCTTCATCAATGTAAGTAATATGATTGTTGAGTGATCTCCAGGCCTCTTTAAATTAGGGCTTTTTTCGAAAGAACCCACAAGGGACAACACAAGTTGAGCTTAATAGAGAGTAAGATTTGAATTGCAAAGCATAAAAGGTGGAGATTAATTCTTTGCGGCTTTTCGATCTTGTGATTGATTTTGTCTTCTTTACAGCATTTTTTCAATTTCATGGATGTCACAAAGATTGTGTCGCACATATATTACTTCAATAGATACACTAATGACCATGTGGCTTTGTTTGTGAGGATAGTTTGTGTTGTGAGCTCCTCTATATGCAATAGACATATTTGCTTGGGGTTGTGCGAGATGTGATGTGCTTTGTACCAATTTGACCTCATGGTCCAAGCTAAGTATACTAAGCTGTATGACAACTAATTTATCAACATCTTGATGAGTCTTGTCTCTTATCTTTGTCGGTAGCACACTCTCATCAAAAAGATGAGTTGAACATGTCCAAAATTCATGGACATGCAATGGTCAACTATGAAAAAATTGAGTAGGTTTTTGTGACAAGGATGCACAATGATCTATGAGTACCTTATATAGAAGTTGTTTGAATGTATTTTTTTTCCTTTCTTGGTGGTTGATATTACTTGTACTTATTGATGTTGCAGAAGTAATCTCTATCATTGTGACATGCTTGCAAGGACTAAGCATCCTTCTAAAGGCGTAATTTAGTCCTTAATAGGTTTATATAAAGTACAAAGTGTACACAATGTAGAGATTTTGGCCATGGCTTATGGTACCTCAAATCTAGTCATCCACAAGTCTTGGTGTATAGCTCTTACGAATACAAGGACTTTCAATCAAGATTAAGATATCTTTGTAATAAGCTTCATGGCTTTGCTGCCTACAGCCAAGGGTAAAGTTATAGTTTGTATTGTAGAAAAATTGTGTACTAGGCTCGTTAAGAGCATTGCATCCATTGTTGTCCAATAAAATCACAACAATGATGCCAACAACAAGGATATTCTAAAAGTACTACTTGACAATTTGTATGCACTATGGCGTCTTTACTGTGCATTTCTATCCATCAGCATAAGCTATGATTTGAATTGACTAGGTGGAGTCTTCAATCTATTGAGAATATTAAGAATGACCACTAAGCCATTGTTAAGGATAAGAACTTGATGAAAGCAAATAAACAAGTGAGAGTCTTTCAAAGAAATATGACAAAATAGAAATAGAGAATCATGTATATTAAAAAGAAAATTGAAATGGCTATTGTTAAAAGACAAGAAAACTAAAGAATCTTAAAACTAAACTAGAAGCAAGAAAGGAACTAATAAAAGTGAAGAAGTCTTCATTTTTGCCTCTATATATACTATCTCGACTAGAAACTATGTGATGACATTCTATAGGACCTCCAAAAATATGTTGACTTTATATGACATATATTTTAACTTGCAAGGTAAGTTTTTTGTATAGGCACCACATAATTAGCTTGTCAAACAAGCTACTAATACATATTACATGTGGTTAGTTTATTCATCAAGTTTCAAACCTATCAATCAACTACAAGTACATATAAAGTCAAAATAGCATCTAAGAGGCTTTTAGGAAGCTCTTCTAGAAGGTATTATAAAATTAATCTATTTTTATCTAATTTTATTTACTTCTACTTATTCATATTATTTACGTAATAATTATAGTACATATATATTTGTAGCATTATTCTCCTTTATAGGAACAAGTTCCATGAAGAACAATAATTACATATTGAGGAAATCTAAGATGTGGCAAATTATATCTGCAACGTACTTTGAACTTTGTTCCCTTTGAAGGAAGTAGATAGGTCTTCTCAGCCATCAGTACTGTCCCATTCAAAGGTGGAAAGACAACCCTATTACTTCATCATTATTGAAACCTTCGTAACTTCCTTAAAATGAAATATTTATAATACCATCATAAGTCGTTCCTACCTTCAATAAAATCACCAAATATTGAGAGTTTTTTTTATAGGTTGTGATATCAAACACATTGTATCTTGCCATCTATTCGAAGGAGAACATGTTATTCTTGAAGGTCTTCATCTCTATTACGTCGTCTTGAAGGGTGTGATAACTGTAAGGTCTTATTCAAGAAGTCAGCAAATGATGGCTCTTGAGTTGAATCTGTTGGCTGTTGATTCTCCATTTCTTTAATATTACAATTATACAAAAATTACAAACAAGGATAGAAGGTAGAATGTAATATTTTTTAAATTGTGTTTTTTTTATAATAAAGATTTACTATCATTTATCTTGGTTTTGATGGATATCATTGATGAAAAGCTTTGACCTTCTTTGTTGCATTTGTAAGATTTTTTATTAACTTCCATGTGCATTTGTAAGATTTTTTATTAACTTCCATGTGCATTTGCTAACATCATATCCATGCCAATGAATAAGATATTCAATCCTATGTCAATGTCGCCTTAAATCTAAGATTTCTTTTACCTTGAATTTTTGATTATTATCCACTTCTATAGAAGGCTATGGTATTTGTCTTCTTTCCAACATATTTATTGTCTTTTATGGTTCTAAAAGAAACATGTGAAATACAAGATGGATTTTGATAGACTCTTATAGATATAATCGATAAGTGACTAGATTGACTTGTTTACAAATAGAAAATGGTTTAAATCTATAATAATCCAACCTATTACAAAGGTAAATAGTTTTAATATTATGAAAAAGTAACCATATCTTATTATCAATATGAAAATGAGGTTGTTTCTTGTAATAAGCATCTGCATTGCTCTTTTGTTGTTCTTAAGCATCTTTTAGTTGTGCCTTTATTGTTACATATAGCTCAAATAAATGATTTATCAAATCCTCTATCACAAGTTTAAAAACTTTTGAAAAGTCAAAAGAATCAAGTTATGGATGATAACCATAATTAGCAAAGTAAGGTGTTTGTTATGTAGAAGAATGTATCATATTATTATAAGCAAATTATGCCAATGGCAAAAGAGTTGTCCAATCATCTTGTTGGTAGTTGATGGTACACCTTAAATACTACTTCAAAACTTGATTTACACACTCTATTTATCCATCAATTTGAGGATGAAAAGCTAAAGATAATTTTAGGTGCACTTTTAGAATCGTAAAAAGTGTTTTTCAAAATCTTAATACAAACTGAATTTTCTTATCTGATATAATATCTTTAGGCAATCCATGATAGCAATAGATGTTGTCAAAGAAAAACTTGGCTATTTCTTCATTTGTAATAGTTTTTACACTTGGTGTACCATCAACTATCAACAAGATGATTGGACATACTTTAAGGTGTACCATCAACTACCATTGGTAGTTGATGGTACATCACAAAGTATGCCAAGTTGGTGAAATGATCTACTATCGCAAATATAGAGTCATAAGAACTTGAGACTAGAAGATCCATGATAAATCCATAGAAATAGAAGACCATGATTGTTCTGAAATAGGCAATGATTGGAAAAGTCCATAGAAAGATGGTGAGTTTTTGACCTTAAACAAATGTCACATGACTAGACAAAGTCTTTCAATGCCTTTTACATTTGTGGCTACTAAAAATCTCTAGATATAAGTTCTAAAATTTTGTTATATCCAAAATATCCAACCGTTGGAAAGTCATGACATGCTTGAAGAATACATAAATATGCTTTTTCTTCTAAAATGTATAGATGTGCTTTGAAATATAATAAGTTGTTTTTGAACTTGAACTTGGAAGCATTATGAAACTTAGAAGAAAGGTTTTTGATATCATAAACAAGAAGATATATTTAATTGAATTTATTTGACAAGGATTGAATTCACGATCAATGTTGATTTTATTGCTTGAAGATGAAAATACTTTGTCTTTAAGAAAATCATTCTTTGTTGATTAAAAGATACGTCTCCTTCTTTTGATACAAGATAAGAATGTCTACAAAAAAACATCTAACAAACCTTATTATTTTTTAAGTTGATAATGTATTGTAATTGCTTATAGTATGTAAAAACTAGTTATAATATATAATATATTTTAAAGTCTTGATGTATGTTAGAATAGTTAATAGATTAATTTAATGAGAGTGGATATAAAAAACTTTATTTTAAGATTTATCTATTTTGATTATAACATTTAAAAAAATTTCGGACCTAAATGCTTATTATGAAGCCTTGAGAGGACATTAGAGTCTAAAGAAAAAAGTCTAAACTATTAGGAGACTTATTGGAAAGAATGAAACTAAGGTATGGCTCGATGAAGACAAGGAATAAAGATCTTCATCCCTATTGATCAAATATCATACCCAATGAGCTTCAAGGAGGCTGTCCGAGCTATATTAGAGATTAAGGTTTTTTTTTCGATGTCATTCGAGCTTTGGAGGTTAAGATCAAGAAGTTTAGATTTTTGGATACAGATTGGGTGCAAATTTTGTGTAATTTGGAGTTTTTATGGAGTTATTAGTGTTCAAAGTTAAGGTATTAATTTTTACCTATTATCACTCTTTGTGGCATAACATATGCTTACAAAAAGTAATAAAGGATCAACAATTAGAATTGAAGAGAAAATTTGTTTGGCTAGACTTTCCATATATTATTTAATGAATTTGGAGTTTTGATGAAGAAGTTATAGAGAGTTGAAGTTAGTACATCCAAATCAAAGGCAATAAGCGAGTGATTTTGTTCATAGTAATGGTTGGAGCCATATCTTGAGTTTTTAGACAAATTTTTGGTTCAAACCTTTTGAAAAAGATAGATTATTGTATTAAAAAGCTATATATATATATATATATATATA